GGCTCCCAGTTGGCTTGTTAGCTCAATTGGTAGAGCGCTGCACTAGTATCGCAGAGGTCAGTGGGTTCGAATCCCGTACAGACCTGATTTTTTTTTTTCAGGTCTGATTTTCGCTATTGCATAAATAGCGCTCTCTACTGGGAGGATCGTGCATCATACGTATCTACAACCGCAGTTCAAAATATATGAGCTTCATATATTCATTGTATCTTAGTTATTGTTAAATTATACAGTCAAAGCTAGTGAATAAAAAGCCGGGGAAACTAACTTAGCCAAAAAATGTTTAGACAGAATTACCACAACAGTTATTGTTAATGATACAGTCAAAACTAGTGAATAAATAGCCAGGAAAACATCACGGGTTATATGCCCAACATAAAACAAACCTATCAAAAATATATACATAAAAACACACATTTTCAATTTAAGAAAAGAGACATGATTTACATAAAAATATTAATACATTTTCCCCATAATTAATTAAGAATAACTTGACTATTTAATTAGTTCACAAAGCCTCACAAGATAAAAATTAGTAATAATAATTTTCAACGACGTTTCGACCTCACTGAGGTCATTTTCAAGCTGATGAAAAGGAAAGTTTTTACATACATGTACTAAATTCAAGACGTGGGAATGATAAAGGCGATAAAATATGGAAATATGTAAACGCTAGGCGTAAAATAGAAGTGATAAAATTGCAAAGGAGATAATATCGATAAATTGATATGAGAGTTAACAAAACTAAAACTATAAATTATACGAAGATACCGTAAATTATTATAAAAATAGCTTTGCGCGGATTGAGTCTGACTGTTTGTTCAAGCTTGGCCTAATTTCTTTTATAAAAAGCATCTCGTAAATTAGGTAGTCCAGTTTACTTTTGCATTTCTTCAGGATTTGAAACTGTGATGCAAGTCACTTGGGGTATGCCCATGCCGCTCTTTAATGTGGTTCCCGATTGAAGACTGAGACGCTTTGTATTCTTCAGCACATTGGTAGAGGTGCCGGCATGTGTAGCCGACATAGTCTGCATCGCACAGACCACACTTAGAATAATACAAAATGCGCTGCTGATTGATGATGTTGGGCTTCTTTTCCGTTGGTTTTAACTCATATCCGATCTTTCTGTTAGTGTACACAGGAGAAATCACGGTCAGTTCCAATTTTTCGGCTTAGGCCGCCAAGTTTCCTTCGTACGGAATTTGCTTATGTTTGGTCTTTAAAAGGAAATATAATTCGCACGGGTGTTTTTTTTCTCGTCAGACGTTTGATTGATCCCTGGATCCCCAGACACTTTTCATTGAAGCGGTCGCCCAGTTAAACTTTCAGAGTGAATTTTTTAAAAGCTTTTTTATTTTTTTTTTTTATTTTTTGCACAGATAAATTAATTATTTCTCTGTACACTTTTCAGCAGGCTCGCATGCGTGTTGTTCTCACCTGCACTTTGGCCACGGCACAAAACTTAAGTCACGTGATCAAATATTTCTGGTGGCCGTGTTTGCCGTAAAAGGCTTTTCTTGGTTTAGAAGTGGTACATGTATGTTTATCATCAAACTGACGAAGATTAAGGGGTGACATTTATTTGGATTATACCCAATACCCTTTAGGATACTTTTGCTTGCCAAGTGACCAGGCTCCCATGTGAGCGTCACTCCGTTCCATCTTGATGGTGGTTAAAGACGTGGTTTTTCATCGTGGTTTTTCATCGTGGTTTTTCATTCGAGGTGAGTTTTATTAATTTTATCCCTTAAAACAGTTTCCTCTTTGACGATTTGTCTTTATA